ACAACCTCAAAAACCCTGTAGAGCATGACTATGAGTCAGAATCGACTCTGTGTCAGTGAGTTTGGGTTTTTTTTTTTTTTTTTTTAGTATTTAGGATAGAAATGCATTATTTATCCTTGTAAAAAAATCAATAGTGCAGTTATCAGTTAATGTTAGGTGGTTTCCAAGGGGGGAAAGCGCCTTTTGGATAAACTCAACAAAATATATCCAAAACCATGTAAATAAAGTTAATTGAAATTCACTTTTCATAACTGTAGTCATCTCAACAACCCTCTCTCTTTCTCTTTGTCTGTTGTTCTCTTCTAATTGAGATTTATAAGAAATTATTAGACTTCAAATATCTTTAATCACTAAGGCTTCCAAGACCGGAATTACAGATCTAACAGCTTAAAAACAATCTAATGCAATATTTAATTGTAGAGATGAAGAAATTGGCACCCTTATGGAAAAAAAAAATTAGTAAGAGGAAAAACCTGGGTTGCAAACTGATTCTCACTATGGTGGTGGTGCATTCCGAAAGTGTCCATTTAGCTTAATAAGGCACCTCCTCTCTTAAGAAGTCTACCATTTCACTTGTTCTTTGGTGTCATCGTGTTGGTTCCAACTCATAGTGACCCTACATAGGGTTTCTGAGGAGACACTGGTGAGTTTGAACCGTCGACTTTGTGGACTAAACATCTACCAACCTTAGGACACATTGTTTTCAAAACAAATGGAATAGTGGTCCCAAAGGAGCATCCAAGGAAGGTTCATAAAGGCATGTGTTCAAACATTTCAAAAGCAAAGCAAATTTACATAGTATTAACAGGCACAGAGGAGTTGGTCCCTACTGTCTCCTGCTACTTTAGACACACTGGCCTCCTCACTTTTCCTTTAACATGTCAAGAGCCTTTACTTGGCTTGTTTTCTCTGCCGGGCACATTTGCTCCCCATATTTCTCTATGATCATCCTGGCCCTGATATGCAATACTGCAACCTACTTCCAGCAGCACTTCCTCCTTCTATTTACAGTGCTTACTAGTTTTTTCTGTCATGCTTTGTCCCCCATTTTTCTTATTTTATTTATTTTGTTGTAGTTGTTATTGTTGGCATTGATAATCCACCACCTCCATCACCCTATTGCTATTTAATGGATTACAACTCAGAACTAGAAAGAGTAGAACTGCTCCTTAGGGTTTCAGAGACTGTAAATCTTTACAGGAGCACACGCTTCATCTTTCTTCCATGGAGCAGTTTTGAACCACTGATCTTGCCATTAACACCATCAGGAGCACACGCTTCATCTTTACAGGAGCACACACTTCATCTTTCTTCCATGGAGCAGTTTTGAACCACTGATCTTGCCATTAACACCATCAGGACTCCTCTGTTGAGACTATACACAGCAAAATATACACCAACAGGAAAATTAACTGTTTCTTCATGTACAAATTCAGTGGCATTGATTATGCTCTGAGTTGCTGCTGTCAGTTTGATACCACGGAGATAGATCTTGAAAGATCACAATGCTTAAAGCAGACATTCTTTACTAGTCAAGCTAAATTATTGTTTGGTTTTTAGAAGACTTCAGGGGAAATTTTTTGGTTTAAGGTTTAAAGAAACTCTCAGGACAATAATTTCAGGGGCTCATCCAGTCTCCACGGTGCCAGAAAAATCAGGAATTCATGACAATTTGAAATTCTGTTCTGCATTTTTCACCTCTTGATCAGGAATCTACATAGAATCTTTGAACAAAATGTTCAATAATGATGTTGTTATGTGTCATCAAGTCAGTTCTGACTCTGTATGGGGTTTCCAAGGAGCAGCTGGTAGGTTTGCATTGTCAACCTTGAGGTTAGCAGTCCAGTGCTGATCCTACAGCACTGACAATATCTAGATCTTCTGGTCTCATGGCAAAGGATGCTGTTGTTCATGGAAGCAATTAGCCACACCTTCTACACTCTTCATATTCCAACTCTCCTTCTTCCTCTATTATGCCAAGTGAGTACAGATTACTTACTGTGCTTTGGGCAGCCATTTACTAGCTTTTAATATCCCTGGTACTACACAATGAACTAGAAGGTAGAATAGAAGCATTAAACTTGTTATTAGACCTATTAGTCCATGAAACCATGAACTGGTTTGTTATTGTTGTTGTTGTTATCTGCCGTGGAGTCGGTTCCGACTCATAGCAACCCTGTACAGGATTTCCGAGGTTGTAAATCTTTACAGGAGCAGAAAGCCTCATCTTTCTCCTGCGGAACATCTGGTAGTTTCGAACTGCTGACCCTGAGGTTAGCAATCCAATTCGTACCCACTATGCTACCAGAGCTCTTGTATTGTTGTTAGGTGCCACCTAATAACAGTTAGGAATCCTGGTGTGGCACTGTGGGTTAATGTGCTGGACTGCAAGGTCAGTTTGAACCAGAAAATCAACAGTTCAGGCTCACCAGCTGCTCCTTGGTAACCCTATCTGGAATCACTGTGAGTCAGAACCAACTCTAAAACAGTTAACAACAACAATAACTAACAACTGTTGAGTCAGTTCTAACTACTAGTGACCCTTTGCACAACAGAACAAAGCACTGCCAGTCCTGCACCATCCTCACAACTGTTGTTATATTTGAGCCCATTATTGCTCCCACTGTGTCACTCCATCACCTTGAGGGTCTTCCTTCTTTTCACTGACCCTCTTGTTCTTCTCCAAGAACTGGTCCCTCCTGACAGCAGGTCTAAAGAATGAGAGGCAAAGTCTAGTCACCATGGCTTCTAAGGAACATTCTAACTGAACTTTTTTCAAGACAGATTTATTTGTTCTTCTGTTATTCCATGGTATTTTCAAAATTCTTCTTCATCAACACAATTCAAATGAGTCAATGCTTCTGCAGTCTTCCCTATTTGTTGTCCAGTTTTCGCATGCATATCAGGTCATTGCAAATACCAGGAACAAGTGTACCTTACTCTTCAAACTGACTTCTCTAAATGCCCAAACTTGCAGATAGTACCCATTTGTCATCAAGCTTTGATGGCTTGATTACAGAACTCAACTAGAGGCAGAAAAGAAATTTGATAAAGTATAAATTGCTATAATTTGATGAACTTGGCCTATACTTATGGATGTAGTAGCTCAAAATACCAACTGAGAGGAAAGGAGTCTTCATGACAAGGATCAAACCTACCCCCTCTGTATAGAGGGTAGATAGGGATGGACAACTTAGACATTGGCTACCTCTAAAATGGGGTGGATGGCAGAGAGAGATGTAAAGACTTAGAGTGGCTGGCTTATAAGTTTTCAAGAGGAAATTTAATTTCAGAATATGCAGGGGAAGGCAGACTCTCCACTGAAGATTTTTCATCTTATCTAGATGGATCTGGTAAAAGAAGATGGGGATAGGATTCTTTTGATTCAATAGTGAGTAATTGTTATCATGACTAATTGCAACTGTCACAACTGTAAGGGTAGCATAGTGGTTACGAATCGGGCTGTGAACCTTAAGGTCAGCAGTGGGAGAAAAATGAGGCTTTCTGCTCCCATAAAGATTTACAGCCTCGGAAACCCTGTACAGGGTCACTATGGGTCGGAACCTACTCAACAGCACTTAACAACAACAAATCCAACACGAGAAGTCATTTTCTTATTATGTTTATTGTTCACTATCTGTATTTCCCTGTTAGAATATAGAACAAAGGCAGAACTCTTTGTCTCTTGTTCACTGAAGTATTTTCAACGCTTAGAGCAAGAGCAGTGTCTGGAACACATTAAATGTTCAATAAGTATTTTTAATGAATAAATGAATATATGATTCTTGACTCTGCAGGGTAGAAATTTAGAAAAAGTTGCCCAGATTTCACCGTTCACTACACCATAATCCATTCATACATCAATTATGCAATGTGCTTTTCTTTTGGGTTAATTTATTTGTCTCCAGAGACATGCTCTAGAGTCAGTCTCTTCCAAAATTTCAAGTACAACACCATTAGAGACAGACCTGGCATTTCAGGCTCAAGAGATGTTTCAAGTTTATCTTGGGAGAAGTACAGGTTAAACAAGAATAAAAAATATCACTGGAAGAGAGATTATATTTCTAAGCAACAAAAATTCCATATAACAGCAAACTATGGTCACTTGGCCAGAAGACAAATCAGTGTCAGAGAAAGCTGGTCTTTTCATATAGGCTTTCTTGAAATTAACCAAGATAGATAGAGATAAGTCATGAGAAGAAGAAAAAAAGTATTGGGTAGAGGAAATAAGTTGACCAGCCTTACTTTGAGTCATTTCAAGGAAGCCTCATCATGATCTATATTTGACAACACACAACAACAACAATAACATCAATGGACAGACAATATTTAAAATTCAGAGCTTGCTTATATAGGACCTAGAAGAAAAGCCAGCATGCTAGGAATCCTAGTTTTAGTGTCCCCGTAGGTATATTCCAGGAGAAGGATGCTAGACATTGAGATGTGTGTTCCAGGAATCTATGGGATAATAAAATAAGAAGAGTGATCACTATCGACCTTACATGGCTCATTAGACTTCTTTGTGGCCAGCAGATCCTCTGATCTGACAGCCATGCAAAGCCCTTTCCCTTTGACCTGAGCCTGCCTTCTCCAGCAAAGATGCCACATACTAATAACAAACATGATGTATACCTTCAGAAATCTCAGTCATGACTAGTCACAGAAGTGCTCCAGTTACTTTTGTAAAATACAAATCCATTGTTGCCCCTTTTTTTTGCTTAAAGTCCTGTGGTTAATTTCTCCCAGGCTTTCAGGATAAGGTCAAATTCCTTAACTTAGTACAAATACCCTTTGTGATCTGAAAGCATTCTTGCATTCAAACAGTTATAGGTTTCCTACTCTATGGTGAACTCACAGAGGGTAAGAATTAGACCATTTTTATTTTAGCATCCCCAGTGTTTGATCTGTAGAGGTGCTTAGTAAGTATTGGTTGAATTGATAAAAAGGAATGTTGTGATATTGCTAACCCATAATATGTCTTTGTTTTTTCCTTCCTTAAGGACTTTGGGGTTATGTTCCTGCACCACGTTGTAGCTATTTTCTTGATAAGCATTTCATATGTCAACAATATGACTCGAGCAGGGGCGCTGATCCTCTGTCTTCATGATTCAGCTGATGTTTTTCTACAGGTAAGAGTTTTGTCCCTTAAAAGTAAAAAATCCAGATCTCAGAAAGCCCCCAGGATTATCAGTTATTCCATTTGATGCTGGTGATAGTGATAGTGATTAGGGAAGATGGTAAATGACTACTTTGATACTACAGTGTTTCTTGGTTAGTTAAATTGGTGAAAATGAGGATTTCAGTTGGTATATGAGGATAAGTCAAAAAGCAAACAAAAATACCAAAATATGAAGCTATTGTTTTTTGATGTATCCTCTATCTAAATCTATATACTTCTGAAGGTGAGGCTTCCATCTTTCTAACCTTTCCCCAAATAATTCTTCACTTTTTAATTTACATCTTCCAGAGATTCAAATCATGTTTCTTTTCGATGTTTTTTGAGTTTGGAGGAACAAATAGACATCTGGAGGAGCAAGGTCAGGATTGTAGGATGGATGGTATAGATTTCTTAACAAAATTCTCCTAGGGCAGTCTTTACTATTCTAAGAGAATTAATTAACGGGTGCATTGTTGTGATGGGGAAAAAATTCCTCAGACAACTTTCTTGGCCTTTTTTTCACCAATGCAATTTTCAGTGTTCTTGAAACTTCTTCATAATAAGCAGCCATGATCATCTTGTATCTTTCAAGAAAATCTATCAAGGTGACTTGCTCCTTTGGAATCCTCCAAATCATCGTCATAACCTTCTGAGGTGACCTCTCTGCCTTGAATTTTACTGACCCATGAGACCCCCTCTGAAGCCACTTTGACTAGACTTTTTTTGAAGGCATCCTAATGACACCAGTAGAAGTGTGTGACTGAGAGAACTTGACTACAAGCCTTCCACTGATCACAGAGACATGTTTAAACCGATTTTGTTGGGAATAAACCTGTGCATGTATGAACTAAAATGCTAGTAGCGATACTTTTTTACTTACCCTCATATAATCTTGTATACCAAAAAATGTTCATCATGTTAGTATTCTTCATTAATGAAATGATGAAAGATTTTATTGTTCCACACCTAAGGAATGAATAATTTATAATAGAAAGATCATTATTTGAATAGGTATTGTTTCTGTTTTATAAGTTTCATACTGATTTATCTGGAAAGGGTATATAACTCAGTTTGGTTATGAATGGAGGATTTATATCCTGATGAAGTTAATCTGTAGTTATATTGCATATATGTGTATGTTTATGTTCAATATATATACACATGTATATGTCATAAACACAGAAACTAGCATACTCTTTTGTACGTATATATATAACTGCAAGGTTGGCAGTTCAAAGTTACTAGCTGCTCCTTGGAAACCCTATACAGGGTCGCTATGAGTGGGAACTGACTCCACAGCACTTAGCAACAACAACTACATAATAAGTGCCATCTAATTGGTTATGACTCATAGCAACCCTGTATAGTGTTTCCAAGGAGTGGATGGTGGATCTGAACTGCTGACCTTGCGGTTCAAACCTACATTGGAGTCACGTGATTATCCTACAGCCCCACACCAGGATTCTTTGTTGTTAAGTGTCATCAAGTTGGTTTCAACCATAGCGACCCTGTATAGGGGTTCCCAGGAGAGGCTGGTGAGCTTGAACCACTGACCTTGTGTTTCAAACCGACTTGGCAGTTCAGCACATTAACCCATAACACTACACTAGGACTCCCCCACCAGGGTATATATATATATATATAGAGAGAGAGAGAGAGAAACAGATAGAGAGAATGCCCCGGTGGCACTGTGAGATTAGCCTTGGACTACTAACTACAAAGTTGGCCTTTCAAACCCACCAACCACTCCACAGGAGAAAAATGAGGCTTTCTGCTTCCATAAAGATTTATAACCTCAGAAACCCTATACAGAGTTGCTATGAGTCAGAATTGAAATATATATATAACTAGTGTTTTTATAACAAAAAGTCTATACAGATTTCAAATTACATATAAAAACTTTCTATGCATATCATTAATAAGGAGTCCCTGTGAAAGTATTGGTTGCAATATTTAAAGTGATTAAAAAAAGAAAACATGTTTCAAGCACATTTCAAAATATACAATCTAAAAACATCTTGAAGAATTTACTATTAATTTGGGCCCCTGTGAAGAGCCACTTGCAGTAATGTCATAGAATTAAAGTCTTTTCACTTTATACTGAGAAATTTATAAACCTGGCTAAAATCAACTCTCCAGAGTATAAATTCCATGTAGAAATAGACCACACAATTTATATTCTGATATTTTAAAATTTTCTGTTGGTTATCAGTTCTGTCATTCTTAAAGTATTTATTATTATTGTGAATATAGAAGTGTTCTCAAATAGTGGTATGTTATAACATAAGCAGAAATTCCATGCCATAAATTGAATCTGTTATAAAGGCAATTATTCAAGGTTTGAGATAGATTTCGCACTTTATAAACAACTCTGATCCCTTTAATTTTATGGGGAAAAAAAACAAAATAAATAAACTACTAGGTCAATTGATGGTGTGTCACTATGATTTTGAAGCGATTCAAGCTAAATTCTACTTTACATTATTTTTTAAGAAAGAAAAAAAAACAATATAAAGATTTTTGTTGTTGTTGTTAAGTGCTGTCGAGTCTATTCCGACCCATAACAACCCTGTATAGGGTTTCCTAGGAGCTGCTGGTGAACTTGAACCACCGACCTTGTAGTTCAAATGACTTTGCAGTGTGGTGCATTGGCCAACAGTGAACACTTTTAAAATCAGCTACCGTTTGCGTAAATCATAAGCCTGCTTGGAAATGGAAATGTATACAGAAACCTACAGTTTTAAAATCAATCCTACAGTCTACTAACAT